AAACTACTTTGCTTGGGACAAGCAAGATTCTAGGTTGGGGGGAGTTGTTAAGTGGTAAAAAGTTGATATAATTATGTCTTAAATTGTTATGAAACCATTTAACTTATGTTAATTCTAATTTATTTTTCTCCCAATATAGGATGAATTCGAGAATACCTTGATCCAAGAGTAAGGAGCATAATTGTTAGCATAATTAGAGAAAAATTGAAAGAAAGAAGAACGCTTAAGCGAATAAATGATGTGAGGCCCAACCCAAATTCTCTTATAAAAAGAGAAGATTTGTTTTGAGAAAGGAAGCGGTTTTGGAGGAGAAGAGGCGCGACTACTGCTAGGGTTTCATCTAATCTTCATCAACTCTTCACTTCTTCATCAATTAGAGTATTGTAATGGCCAATATGAGTAACTAACTTCATTCTCTTAGGATTCGGTGCACTTCCTTTGAACTCTTTTGTATCATGGTGATATTTTGAGATATTAATCTATGCTTTGATGTTGTTATCCTTATCATTTATGTTTTGGAATGATTTGTTCTTGATGTTTGGGGTATGATTGGAAAATATATCTAGAACCCTAGATCACGGTAAAAATATTTGTTACGTTAATTGCTAGGAATGGAATGAATGTATCAATTGCTTAACACCCTAACCCTAATGCTGGAAAATCTCTTAATTGTGTGAGGAATCAACATTTATTAGGTTTTCTTATGAATTTCATGTGTGAGGAATCAACATAGATGATTTGAGTAGGTGACATCAACATTGTTAGGTTAATTGACGTTCTTAATTGATTTAGCCATTACAAAAGAGGGATAAGGAAGGAAGTCAATCCTAAGTACCTTTAATTGATATTTTCTCAACAATTTACAGTTCTTTGTCATTTAATTTCAATTCAACTCTTATTACAAAAAACTAATCGGTTTTAATCTACTTAGTAAATATAATTGGGAATTTTCATTGAAACTGTTCCTCGTGGGATCGACTTTTATTTAATCGAAATACTATACTGCGATTGATAATTTTGGTAGACTTGCCAATAATTCAACACTCCTTTGAACAAATCAAAGGATGAAAGCACCTCTTTTTCCACCAATACATAAAGGATGAACATCTCCCTAAAATCACAATAGAGATGAAACAAAGATAGTTCTGAGTCTCTTTAACACACTGCTCTAAATCCTAAAAGGAGATTAAACGGTAATCACTCAAACCCTAAACAGGAAATTTAACATCAAATTTTCCTTAAATTCCTAGGGGATAAAGACAATAAAATAATAACAACCACACATGTGAAAACATTCACCAGTTGCCTAAGATCCTCTATGTTGGGAATTCTCCAAACACCACCCCCAATTCCAAACTCATCCATATCCACCATGAAAAGAAAACGAAAACAAAACCCATAAAATTAAATAAAAACAAAAACAAAAGATTCAAAGAGAACAGAGAACTCAATATAAAAAATATTGAAATTTGAAACACTATTTCTTTCTCAATAAAACTTGAAACTTAAACTGAAACAAAAGGGAAAAACAAAGAAGAAGAAGAATCCATAACTTCCTCCACGGTTCCATCAGCAAGTAGAATCAGACTGGGGATGTTACCCCCAAATTTAAATTTTAGGGTTCACAAAAATTGGAGATTATTCTCCACTTAGAGTTCATAAAATTGGGTAATTTGAATTGTTTAAAACAAAATTAATCCTAATTTTCATAATTAAGGTTCTATAAATTAAACAGACATGAATCAAATATGGACGACTCTGATACCAATTGTTGGAAAACTAATAATAATTATGATCCTGATTTTGATTCTAACTATCAAACATAAACATTATCCCATACTGATAAACATGTTGTAAACTGAATGCGAAAGCGTACCTGAAATAGCCATAATGATAATGTCTTTATAGAGCACTATATTGATCTTATGGTCTTCCACCTGAAGAGCACCTGTATTTCTCTCTTAATTTTCTCTCTTGATGGGGATAGAAAGAAAGGAATGAGACTGATACTTATGTTCTGTGTGTGTGTTCCCAGAAGGGGACCATGACCCTTTAAATAACCATAATTAGGTTAATTACTTAAGTTTTAGTATTTCTAATTTGACCCTCATCAAATTAGAAATTGCTCAATAGTCTCTACACAATTTTATTTTCATGACATATGTCTTTAGCCAAAACTTTAATTTAGTCAGATCACTTTATTATTTGGCTTAATAAATAATGGTCCTAATACATTTAAATTATGTATCATATATATACATGACCCAAATTTTGCCAACAGAATAAGCTCAAGTGGGATGAAGAGGCGATATCCAAAAATTGTGTTGTACGAAAGATCTCGAGATCGTTGACAAACGATTTTGAGAAAAAAGTATGTGTCATAGAAGAATTAAGGAACCTGTCTGAGCTCACGATTCAGGAGTTGATTGGTTCATTTGGAGCCCATGAGTATTTAAAGAAGAAAATGAAGGAAGAGACAATTGTACAAGTGTTGCAGGCCGAGGTACAAGAGGAAAAAACTCTCTATTATTAGAATAATAAAAATACAGGGGACATAGTGGTATCGAGGTGGTCAAGGTGACTGAGTTGGTGAGAAGGAAGAATGAGTTTAGCAAAATTGGCAACTATGACCACTCAAACATCGAGAAAGAAGAAGGAGTTGGTGAGGATGTGATCGGAGAGGAAGTCAGTCGACGAACCACTCAAACATTGAGTGCTTTCAGTGTGGTAAGTATGACCATTACACGAATGATTGTTACTCGAACAAGTTCTACAATTGTGGTGAAGTTAGACATTTTGAGAAAGAATATCAAACTAGGAAAAAGATGGAAGAGACTTATCTCACAAAAGAGACAGAAATTGAAGAAGCAATATTGTTGATGACCGATCATAACTCGGCAACTGACAAGAATGTCGATCATAACTCGACAACTGACAAGAATGTCGATCACAACTGGGTAGTACACTTGGGAGTAGATTACAACTCAGAATGTTCAATATGGTATTTAGACACTGATGCATGTAACCATATGTGTGGGGACAAACACTTATTTATAAAATTGGAGAAATTTAAGGGTGATCGACATTCATGTGTCTGTTGGAGATGATTTGAAGGTCTCGGTAAAAGACTGATGTATTATTTGTTTCTTACAGAATGATGACCTAGTTGGGTCAATCCGAGATGTGTTCTATGTTCCAAATCTCAAGAGTAATCTTTTGAATATGAGACAACTGATGGAGAGAAGATACTCAATATTCATGATAGATCAAATACTATAATTGAAGGACAAACTCGGAAGGTTAATTGCCCAAGTAGGGATGAAAATGAATAAAATGTATAAGTTGCAGCTGAGAAGCATTCGAGAGAGGATTCTTAAATTAAATGTAATGGACACGTTGAAGGAAAATCATTGATCTAGTCATATACATTTTTGTGGTCTAACCAAGTTAATTCATGATGTTGAAGCAGACGTCCGAATTGATGAAACGAGTGAGTGAAACTGGGTAGAATTGTAGGATGATAGAGGAGGTCGAACTACTACACCACCAATAGCATCCAATTCGGAAATCGAGAAAAAAAAACAGTATCAGTAAAGTTGAAGAAGAACATGAAGAGCATGGTGCTCAGATTCCCAAGCATGGAGGGAAGAGTTTGCAAAGATGTGGTGAGGACTGAACTTTAGAAAAATGTCGTGTACTAAGAAAAATCTAACTTAGGTCCGAGTAATGGATTTCGAAGTGACCATGTTCGAACTATTATGGAGAAAGTGGTTCGAGTTGTTGTGGACGAGAAGGTTCAAACTGTTATTGAAGAGAAGTTCCAAGTTGTTATTGAAAAGATGATCCATGCTATTATGGATGAGAAGATCCGAGTTATTGAACACAAAAACACGACGGTGATGACCGAATTGTTGAGTTATGACCGAGTTGTTGGTGTGAAACAAATGTTCAAGAAAGATGAGAAACTTTTAGGTTGGCTTTCAACCTATCTCAATTAAGAGAGAAGAGATGAAGAACTACTAGGCGAGGAGAAACGACTCGGTGCAACTGTGATCCGAGTTGATAATAAGTTAGTCATTGAACTAACGAAGAATCTGATTAATCATGAGAGAAACAAACATATTGATGTGCGTTTTCCCTTCATCCAAGAACATATAAAGGAAGGAAATGTGAAGCTTGTACATGTGACAAACCGAGATCAAGTTGATGATATTTTCACAAAACTCCTACCTATTATGTTGTTCGAGAAGTGTAAGAAGCTAATCAGGACGAAGAATGGAAGAGAGTTTGGGTGTTCGACAAGTCAGCTAGTTGGGAGTTCAAAGTTTTGAAATTCAGCAAGTTAGGAAGTCAAAAAATTGGTCATGATCTCAGTTTTTGTTGTAAAGAAATTTAATTTTACAGGAAAATTTTGTCAAATAAAATTAAATAAAAATTAGTTTAAAAGTTTTTGGGATAAATTAAATAAAAGAAATAATTAAGAGTTGGTTGAGACATTTGTTAATATTTCTCAACGTATCTCCAAGACAATAGCTCCTAGAAGCAACGCCTATGTGACAAACACGTCAACTTTTGGATATTGATCCTTACGTATGACAAAGAAGGAACATAGTACACTAACATTGGAAAATAGTATGACGAAACGTAGTGGCAAATCTTGACCATTGATCTTGGGAGTCAAATAATATTATTAATAAATAATAAATAAATATAAAAGGAAGAAAGAAGATAAAAGGGTGAAAGGATAAAATTGTAGATGTATACTTAAATATATTAAATGATCATTAAGTTTGAAGCTGGACAAAATCATAAATTATATGATAGTTACAAAGCTGGGGAGGACTTAAGAGGATAAAATTGTAAATATAAAAATAAATATATTAAATGTTCGTTAAGTTTGGGGGAACAAAATAATTATAGGAGTTATAAAATTTTAAGGGAACCACGACCTCCTTCAACTTCTAAGAAAATACACCACTTATGAAACGGAAAAAACTACACTACCCACGAAGAGTAAGAGTCACAACTGTTTTGATGTAGAACAGATCATACATAAATCCAAGATCTAGTTGCATGACTTGAAACACTTTCTTGCCATTCCCATTCTGAAAAGACAACCTGATTTCCAAAAGATCATGGAAGCTCAGGATAAGATCTGCAAAAAGCGGCTTGAAAGTCTTCAAGAATTTGTACGCAATCTTTACAATTTCAGGTCCGTATGAGTCGATTTGTGGCAGTGGGATGATGTTAGCTTCTGCCGGTGCATGAGTATGATCATTAGAAACTGAGGGAGTTTCGAGGCCTTGTACATAACCACGAACCCTTCATGAGATGCTGCAATGTACGTTTCCATGTGCCTGGCATAATTTGGCCCTGGATCAGTGTCAGGAAACAAGGACTCTTTGAATTGCTGGCTGCTTGCAGACCACAAAACCCAAATCCTCTCCCCGACTTTGACAATACTAGCAATGAATATTGGTATTGCCAAAATGTTGAGATCAGTGTCTTTCCAGGCTCTTAGGAAGAAGATATAGAGTGCCAACACAAACTGGAAACAAAAAACTAAGAAAACGCCTAGTCTACATGTAATAAGTCCCATATGGGGAGGTTTTCCTTGTAAGATTGGAGGCTCTCCAACTTTTTGAATTAACTTTTCAGGATGATTACCTTCTTTAACCTTATGATTATTACATTGGTGCTTTCGTTAGGTAACTAAAAAAGGACTACCACAAAGAGAGTTCCAATTGTTCAAAAGATTGAGTGAAATACCGGAAAATGCGGGCCCAAAGAGATATGATAACATACTTTCACTCCACAGAATCACCTTCATTCACTCCTACTTTATTAGAAAGAACACCTAATGAGACTGTTGCAAGCCAATATGCTAACAAGTAGGAAAACCACAGAGTGATTATCAGCCAGGTTCCGGTGCAGTGCTTCCTCTTGTTCCCAAGAAGGATGAGGCTTAGCAAAGGTTCCTCACACTTGGTGGAAAAATCTGAATCATCCCTCTCTTCTTTGTGAAGGCCAAACTACTAAATACTGAAACACAAAAAAGAATAGTTGAATGACAACATTGTAAGGAGAACAAAAGGATGTAGTCTTACCTGTAACCAGCATCTAGATTTGTGTCTCTTCTATGTTGTACTCAACAGTTACAAAGAGAAAGTTATTGTCAATTGATATAATTAAGTAATTAAGAGTGGTATTTGTATGGTGATCTTTTTACAACTTGCTTGATTAGATATTTGGACATTGTAAGCTTAAGACATTAAGTATGTCATTTTCTACTAACGAAAGAGAAATAAACGGCGTTGGGTGTCTCTATATTTTTTATAAAATAAAATGAAAATTGAGATTAGAGGTCAAACAAAAAATAAATAAAGCATGTAAAATAAAATATAATAATAGTGATTAATTTAGTAGCAGTTTTGTGAATATTTAAAAAAAATATATATTAAATTATGTTTCTCTTCTTATTTTAAAATATACACTACTTTGTGAGAGATGTGTATAAATTATATTCTATTCTTTTTCAACTTAAATATTAAATAATTATGATTGCAATGTTCAATTATATTATGAGTGTCTATGGTAAAATGAAGTTTATATAGTATATATTTTAATTATCAATTTTAAAATCGTGTAAAATCTTTGTTTAGTATTTAAAATCGCAAAATGGATGATAAATGTTCAAAAATAACTATTAATCATGTTGAGAATCACTATAGAGGAAAAATGTTTTTAAAAAAAATGCTCACGCTTATATTAAAATTAATTCAATTTATTATTTTTTAAGTAAGGGTAATATATTTTTAAAGCAACAAGGGAGCAGGTACATAAATAAATATTTATGGGGTTATTTAATTTGATTAAGAATCTTAAGTTGTTATTTTTTAATTTTTTTTAATAATTTATAGTTAAGTTTAAATTGTTAGATTATAAAAAATAAATAATAAAAATGAAGAATAAATTCGTAATTCTTATTTTTATAAATTATTTCATATTAATATATATATATATATATATATATATATATTATAATATTTTTATTTAATATAAAACAAGAGTTTTCCATGAGAAATTAAACGTGGAGTGGTTATTAAAAAAAAAACTACTGTCCGGAGAAAAATGCAGTTTAATCGTTTTTTAATCGAAAGCTTTAATTTAAGAGTTAACCAGGTAAGACAACCAAACTCACGCAGTGGGTCTATAAAAAGGTTGAATCTGTAAATATAAAACCAATTAGCAATATATGAAGTAACATAACATGTATTTAAATTATACTAAATGACATGACATAGGCGATATGGGACTTTCAACACACCCCCTCCAACGAAATTTGCCGGACCAGGCAAAGGATACTTTTAACCCAACTAAAGGGTAATTTTTGGCCTATGACAATAACCGAAAAGATGTTAGGCTTTAACTCTGACACTATGTTAAAGTTCCAACATAAAACCAATTGACGAGTAACCTAACATATATTTAAATCATACCAAATGACATGAGGTACTACTTTCAACAACATCAATGTATTCAATAAATAGATAAGACATGTATTTTTATAAGAACTCTTTTATCTGTTTTTTTCACTTTCTTTTATTAGTCAGAATATATAGAAATTATTAGGATATGTGACAATGCAAGGTATACTATTACACTTACACATAACTTGTATTAACAAAGTCAATTTTATTTTCATATCAGTTATGAACATATCAATTATTAGTGTAGATTCCTTAGCCATTTAGTTATTATCACAATTCCTTAGCCATTTAGTTATTATGAAATATGCCTCAAAGAGGAAGTCTACAAATAAGACTTAAGAGGAAGCCAAGTTAACATTTGTTCGTCTATGAGAACAAATAAATATTAGCTAAAGTCAATGCTTGGTGCATGAAGGAAACAAATAAAATTATCGTTATAAATCTTCTCACATGCTACGGGAAGATCATTGGTCATCAATGAAGTAGCTTGATCCGCAAAGTGCTCAAGTCAAATGACCATGGTATAAAAGGAATCTGTTCGAATCCTCTCATTTCTTTTCTTAAATTTATCATGCATAAGGTTCACATATAGATATTGTAACTTGCAGACTGAACTAATTAAAAATAAAAACATTATCATTTGAAAAAAATGATTCATCAAAGCTAATAACAGTGGATCTGAACTATAAAATTGTCAGCCTGGCCAATCCTCCCTGCAGTAGAGATAAAACTATACACGGATAATGCTAACCCAAACTTTTTTCTAGACTGTGTTATCTGTTTAGTTGACTTGACCCCCTAAATAGTACTGCCAAATAATTTCACCAGAAATTTATTTTCAAACATACTAATGACAGTAAGTCAGTTTCTCACATGGGCGGGGGTACACAACATCAGAAGCAACTTGATGAAGTGATCAGTCACTACAACAACGACATGACCAACAGTGAGCTTGTTGTCTGGTTGGCAACAATCATTGCGTTGGGAGTTTCAGTGACCCTCGATTGTTTTCTCATTTACTATGAAGATAAAGTTAAAGTGGATAAAGAGGGAAATGAAGTCACTAGAACCTCTGACAAAGGATTATGATCAACTTGTGGAGAAAGGAGACAAAGTAGAATCTCTCGCACGTCGTTTCTGGGATTCCGAAGATCTATCTGGAATTCATTTGCAGCTAAGTGAAACTGAGCATGAATGGTTAAAATCAACAAGAAAATTAATTGAAGCAAAAGAATGTGTTACCAACTACTATAAACATAGCCGAGGATTGGTTCGTGGCTGTACTACGGCTATCATGAGATTGTTACCCATCATAGATGTTATCTTTCAAATCAATAGCGTCAAAAGTAAGATGATAGATCATATTCAAAACAAAGATGAAAATGCCAAGGACATTCATAAATCCATGGGTAGGTCAAGATCACAGATTAGAAGTCTGTTGGATCAATATACAATAGAGGAGGCCCACAAATCTGTAGCATCCCAAAACCAAAAACAGAAAAAGCCTTCCACAAGTATTGATGAATTGATGAAGATGGGAAAGGAACTATTTTTTGGCACGGAAGAAAGATGGTCCATATATCTGCTGCTTTCAATAAGTACTTTCATCAATGACTTGAGTCAGCTTCAGCTAGAAACTCAAACAGAAAAGCTGTGGAAAACAGAAGTAGAAGAATTAATTTCAGAGACAGAGCGCTGCATTAGCAACTTCTCATGGTGGGTTTCATAAATTGTTGTATTAAAGGATAACATTCCCATAGTAACGTCTCATTTCAGAGAGGACATCAAGCGGATTGTCACCAACTTTGATTCCCTGCTGGTAAGGAAGAAGAGGTATAATTTTGCCTTTAATGATAAAGCTGCAGAGAAGTCAACCTTCCCATATATTATAGATGACAATGCAATCACATCAGCCATTAAAAGCATCCAAAGCAAAATGAGAAAGGTGGACAAAAGGTCAAAGCGGGTAGTTGAAATCAATTCTCTGGTTCACGATTCGGAAGAAATGCATAAAAAGCTTCAGAAGACCTAAGAAACAGCAGGGAGAAATGCTTGTTTAGACCAATTAAAGAGCATTGCTAACGAGGTGGACAATTCCCAAGAGAAGTATATGAATGAAGCTGAGCTCAGTTGTCATGAGATCAAAAATGCTATTGATCGTCTTCATAACATAATACAAAATTGCAGCATAGAAAGACAGAAGTCAGCTAAAGCAGCTGGTTTCAAAAATGAAATACTTTGGTCTCGAAATTGACCATAAGCAGTGATATTCCTTGAAATTCAACACTTTCCATTGTGGGGATGATAGGTGTAGGGAAGACAACTCTCGCAAAAGCAATTTATTACAGCAAAGCCGTGGTTGAGCACTTCCCAGTCCGTGTCTGGGTGACAGTAACTGAAAAAGCTGCCAACAAAGCACAAGTTTTGCTGATGAAAAAGGATGGGACTAAAGACCAGACATTGTATATCACTCAGGTACGTGATCACTTGAAAGAGAAGCTATGCCTTGCTCTAGATAATGTCTCAAACACAAGAGACTTTGATAAATTACATGAAAAATTATCTGGATCTGGAATGGCAAATGGGAGCAGAATAGTGCTGACAACACGCTTTAAGAATGTGGCTTTGCATGCAGACAGAAGTAGACCCTCACCAAATTCGACTGCTAACAAAGGAAAAGGGTTTGGAGTTGTTTAAGAAGGTGACAGGCACCGAGAGGACCAAATTAGAACCAAGTATAGAAAAACTTGCTAAAAACTAGTGGGAAGATGTGGGGGTTTACCACTTGCAATCACATCTATTGGGTGTGTCGTGCAAGCCAAAGGCATGACCCAAAAGAACTTATCTTGGGTGCTTGAACGAATCAATCATGGCCATTACAAAGCAGAAAGGCTTCAAGCTTGGGAGAAGAACAAACAAGAACTGAGTGAAACTATGACTAACTGTCTGTATTACTTCACACTCTTCCCTACAGACTTTGAAATCCCAACAAGGAGGTTAGTCAATCTATGGGTTGCAGAAGAATTGGTGAAGCAAAACAAACAACAAACAGCAGAAGACATTGCAGAAAGATGTATACAAGATTTGAGAGACTGCAACATGATTCAAGTTATGGCACTAAAGTCCAATAGCAAGATTAAGACATGTTGCTTACCAAGTATGCTGAGAGAAATCATCTTGCAAGATAGTGACAGAACAAACCGCAGCCACTACTCAGGTGCACATTTAGAGCGGCGTTATGATGATCGTGGTCTTGATGAAAATTCAGAAAACGAGTTCAGCAAGAAAGGAATTCCCCTATCTGTTTTTTCTTTGACAAGCGAGAGGGGAAAAAACAAGGAGAAGATCCTTTCAACAGGCATTGCAAGTGAGCAGCTCAGGGATGTTAGGGTCCTTGATATTGAACGCATCTTCAGACCTCAGTTGCCTCAGACTTTATGCAAATTAACTCATATCACATATCTTAGTTTAAGGTGGACTTATTTGGAGGAATTCCCACCATTCATAGGCAAATTGGTGAACCTGGAGACATTAGATTTAAAGCATATATGTATCCGTGTTCTCCCTAGCTCCATCTGGAAATTGAAGAAACTGAGGAACTTGTACCTGAACCATAAATATCGAAGTAGAGTTGAGGGGAAACTAAGAGGAGACGATCAGGAAAATGTTCACACACTATGAGTGTGTTCATGTACGGGGATTGACCTCTTCTCCATGACCTTCACAAGCTGAAGAACCTTAAAAATTTAAAATTAGTTTTCCACTTGACACAAAGCAGAGAAAGACACACTTGCCAAGATGATTGTGCAGCTGAACCAGCATCATTCACTGAGACTTTAGATCAGTCAATGAAATTGGTGGTCCTAAAAAACTAATTTTTCACAATATGTCAAAGATGGAGAGTCTCTCATCCCTCCAGTTGTTTGGGAAATTACTAGATAAACTACAAATGAACCGCCTTCACCAAAATCTTACTGATCTCACCTTGTCAGATGATCCAATTGCAAAGCCTGCCCAAACTTAAGTCATTGTTTTTTATGCAGTCTCTTATACAGGGAGAAGCTGGTTTGTGCCACAGGCAGTTTTCCACAACTTCAAGTGCTAAGATTCTGGAATTTAAGGGAACTTCAAGAATGGGATGTGAAGGAAGGAATGAAGTCCGGTCCTGTGGAAATCCGGCATGTCCAGTGGAAGCATTTGAAGACTCTTCGCTTGATTAAGTTACATAAAATGTCAAAGCCATTCATGAAAGACATCTTAAATTGTAAGAAGGCATTGTTGGATGATGTTGAGATCGATTACAATTGATGGATACAATATATGGATATCGCCCAGCAATATCAAGCAGGTATTCTTTTCTTTTCCCTGCACCTATTTGACTCCCCCATATTTCATGATGATAATTTACTTCTTTCCAATGCATTTTGTCACAGGTTTGTGCTCATTTTTTGTATGAGCATCATAAACAAAGCACAAGAAAAATGCTGATGGTATTGGTGACTTGATGTTTTAGTTATCCTTGTTGCTTGATATCTTTCCCAAGCATTCCAAACTTTAAAGTTTCGGTGTAAGTTAAGGCTTTCTATTTGCTATGTACATGCAATTCCCAAACTACCACACTTAGATTTTTGTGTTCTCAAATAATTGCATTCATATTTTGGAACAATGTTAATACACATGACCAGTGCATTATAAAAAATTCATGGAACATTTTATGTGCGTTGTTGCCTTTGAAGTGTTAATTTACATGATTACTACCCTATCAAAAATAAATAGTAGAAAAATGGATGAATATTTTCATTCTAAGAAACAATTAAAGGTGTATCCATTCTTCATTTGGAGTCATAATCATCTACTCCAGTAAAATTCAAACATAGATGATAGACATACTCTTACTTTCTCACTTTAACGACAATCTCGCTTTAGTAGATCTTTTTTCTCAATTATTACTCACCTAAAGGACAATCTCACTTCAGTATATCTTCTATCCAAAAATAGTTGAGAGGTCGTTTCCTAGTGTTAACTTACATGTTGTTAAAATTATTAGAGAAACGGAAAATAATCTTGGATTGCACTCATTGGAGTGTATTCAAAGGAAATGATGGAAAATACATCGGATAATTAGCAGCAACTCAAAGCTTAATGGTAAATTTTTTAGAAAGTATTCAAGAGATCAAATAAATGGGAGAGAGGGAAATTAACTATTCAGCCACGCCATTTACCTTTATCATGTTAGGAACACCTGTGACTTCCGTCTGTGATTACTTCATTGTTGAAAATACGGCCTACTTTTGTCATCATTTTGGACAAGATCCAAAATATCTAAGATTAGGAGTCTAATCTAAAATTTCAAGAGTGGAGAGAATTTATAGGGGATAAACAGGGGAGTGAAGTTGATAAGGACGTGGAAATTATGAGTTGTCTAAGTCTCACATAGCTAACACAAAATATTCAGTAGAATATTTAAATACTTTGTTCTCTTCTAATAATAGCTAACTTTTAAGAGTAGATTCCCCAAGTACTTGAATGTTTATCAATTGATATGAGAGGTAGTCCTCAGTGTCTTAGAAAGTGTAACTATGGAAGGATTCTGACCAGTGGTGTTGAGACATCGACTCTGAAGTGCGGTGATTTGATAGGGATTTACGTAAGTAGTTTGCTTCTCCTCCCTTAAAAGCTAGAGAGTAAAAGACAAAGGACATGCTACACTGATTACAATTAATTAGATTCTATTATGCATATAAAATTTCTTATGCAACTTTTCATCATTTGAAAAGTACTTAAAATTTTCTTATTGTAACATTTAAACATAACTAAAGGAGGGATTAGTTTAAAATTTGGGTAGTTTGCATATAAATGTATTTTCTAGAAACAGAATGGAGATTTCTTTTAAAGGTGTTAAGTTGATAGAAAGAAAGATGCAAGCATTTGAGTGCATTCCCAAAATTTTTAAGAAAATAAATTGTATTGTATATGATATAAAAGCAACTAGACAACATGAAGCGTCTTGAGGAATTGATATATCCTGTCACATTTCTAATCAGGCAACACGAATTAATACAAATTCAAAAAGAATTTAACACAACCTTCTCCAAGTAGTTGCCTGAACGAGAGTCCAACTTTTCCCTTAAAGCCTGGATTTTGAACTTCGAGATTCCTTAGACCATTTGGGAGGATGTATTTTATACTCTAGGGCTGGCCCCAACTCATTGCTTTCTTCTTTGCGTACAATGTCATTAGAGAATGCATCTGGATTGGCCTTGATGCAGCTCTGCAGAGCAACAAACGGATGTACACAGTCCGAGCCCTGCATATTTGGAGCAAATTTCACATTCCAACCCTTAGAAGAATACAGAAATCAAGACTTAAAAAATAAAATACTTTAAATTTGCCCATATTGGTCGCTAATTGATATTGCAGAATATAAGCGATGATTCAGTAATACAGACTTGCACATTACCACTGAACTCTTATCAACAAAAACATTATGCTGAAAGGGCACATATAACCTTTGAAATCAGGCTTTAAGGGGGCAAGAGATTGAATTTTAACCCTATTTCAATTTCACAAAACCAGTTTATAAAGTGAGGTTTATTTTCATTCCTATATCCTCCACTATTTTTGGTATGTGGATAACATGATGAGTGACCTTTTTAGTGGATCTAAGGTAGGTTCTGAAAACAACCTAAAAAACGAATTTTAAACATAACTCAATTTTTCAAAAACGGATTTGTAAGTGAATTTTATACCCACTTATATATTATAATTAGTCATGTCTATGATATGGATTGGGATCTCCAACGCAATAAATTGATGAAAAATCACTATGTTGCTGTTCACTAATCTAATATTAAACAGGTTACGTGGGAAGGCTGATCTAGGTAGATATAGGCTGAAGCTGTGACCTACAACCAGCTAAACCAGTTCAGATCACACTTGCAAGTGTACCTACATCTTGCTTCAAGAAACGAAGCTATGCTATGTAATCACAAATGAAAGCAAAGTATAAAGTAAGATATACCTTTTCTTCAGAGGTACTCTTGAGAAAACACAAAAATGCCTCTGAGAATTGAGAATCACAAGGACCAGTTCGCAAATCAGCAATGCATGGGCATTCGAGAGCTTTCTGAGCCATTTCCTCAACAGACTGAAATTCCACAATTTTCAATTGTTTTCATTCATTCACTTAATTGCCAAGTTGAAAGCAAAAGACCAAAGCAATTCTGTGCAAACCTCAGTGTGTTGGCTTCCATATTCTGCAGCTTCTGCAATAATAATAAAATAAAATAAACACACAAACCGAGATTTCGTTCCAGCCACACACACATGTACACAAACAGTAAAGTGCATGAGAAATAAACACGGAAAAACAACCTGCGAGCGCGGATTCCAAGGAAGTTGGTTTGGAGGTGTCGTTGGCGGTAGTTTGAGGCTCCGCCACAGCTTCTGCGCTTTCAATTTGACCCATTGTGAATCCTGATTTCTGAGTCCTCAATTCTGAACCTCTTTGGCTTTGTGGTGCGTTGAAAATTCAAACTCTGAAGCCAAATCTGAATTATTATCTTCTCTCGCACACAAATGAGTGCTTCTCGTCCAATTATTCCCGGAATTTCCCCTTCGTTACTCCACCATTTTCTTAAAGTTAATTTTGTAACATCAGACGATATCGACTTTCGGTATGAAAATATGATGACTCAAATTCGTGTAACCTAAACTATTAATGACGCCAAAATATTTGAGTATTTAACCTAATTGCACGTAGAATCAAAGTCGTGGTTATTAATTAAATCGAAACAACGTTTCAATTGATAAATGTGATTGATGATCTTTAGCAATTACTTGTTTATAATCTTCTATGATATTGCACCTATACAAATTAATAATTAGCATTTTTCTAATAACTAATATCTAGCAAGAAAAAGTAATTTATTATCTTTAACATATTTGCGAAAGAGTAAAATGATAAAAATAACTTAATCATAAAAAATGATAAAGAGAACTTAAGAGCTAAAATTAAGTTATTTTTTAATTTTTAAAGCTGATAAATTTAATTATTTATATATATTTAAATTTTACGATTTAATTATTATTGGTTTTAATATATTCATTAAATTTTTTTATTTACATAAGATTTTAAACTCAGAAGATCTCATGTCAAAAAGTATGTCCAATCCTCTAAAATGAATCAATAAGTTGTAATATCTACCACAAAAGAGCAATCCGTCAATATTGAAATTCTCAAATATCTCATTAGGTATTAAGAGTACACTCATCTACATTATGATGCTATAAAACTAGTCTTCTCTCTATAGAAGACGTGAATTACATGTCTCTCTTTTAGACTCTCACTATGAACATGTTGTAACTGGTACTACGTTAACTACTCTCCATATCGGATGTATATTCTAATCCATGATGATATCATCTGTCACTAAAGAAGAAAAATTCTCTATCGTCAGCATGTATCCTGGCATATCTTTACACATAAGATAGGAGACACTTCATATGGGATGCAGATCCTGATTGTGTGTGATTGTTGTGATCACACTGGAGAAACTAGTGAAGAAGACGATGATGACTCAAATGAGGATGATGACTTTGGAGGAGGATCTTGCAAACCTCCTTTCTCTCCCAACATGTTTGAACCTGGAAAAGGTCCTTGGATTGGACTTCATCACCAAGAGATCCTTGAAGAAGAAGGTATCATTCTTCATAAACAAGATAAGTGCAGAACCTTTGTTATTGCTCCTCCTATTCCATGCATGATGATCAACCCAATATCCTACAAAGAGGAATTTTCTCCTCTTGAAAGAAATATTGATCTTGTGTCCAAAACAACAACCAAACCACATATTGTCTGCCAAGAAGTTGGATCAGATGACAAAACAAACCACTGAGCTAAGCTGAGGAGGAAGCATTAAAATGACAAACAAAAAATATCAAAGCCCAAAACTCCATCTTGCAAAGAATTGATCAAAAGATGGATAAAATCTCAACACATCTTAAAGAAACTAATGAAAATGTACAACATCTCAACTCATATTTGAACTCTCAAGGTTAGAAGAAGATTGAAAGAACACCATCTTTTGAGAATTATCCCACACAAAAGAAAAGGAGATTAGACAGTTTAAGGCTCAAATTCAGGAGATGAACAATTACATTGAAGCAAAAGTCAAACAACAAAGAACAGAAAAAGATCCTTATTCATCTCTACTTACTCCAACTCCTACTTATTCCTCTTTCTAGGACCCATCTCCATTCTTCCAACCACCAACACAGTTTTCCTGATCTTTACCTACAACCACTACTTATATACCATGGCTCAAACCAAGAACACCAAAGCAAGACAAAGGCAAAAGAAAGTCAGTCCACCTTCTCAAGAATCTTCTCATGAAGTTCAACTCTCACCAAAGAGACAAACTCATCAAGACGCATTTAATCTCGTTTTTCAAGACTCTCAAGATTTATATTTTCAAATGACTATAGAATCTTGTCCTGATCCAACTCCTAAAAATACTCTTACAATTGTTGAAGGGTATTCCTCTAAAGATTCAGAGACAGAAGTCCCCAGTTATACAGATTTAACCCAAATTCTGATGACCAACACCTCCAAACTAGAAGTCAGACATGAACCTATTTATGATTCTTCTGATAAAGAAATTAACTCTGGTTCAAAAAGGACAAATACCTCTCCTTAGTTTACTATTGACAATATCCCTCCAAGTCAGTGGAGAGACTAATTGAATTTGGAGTCTGGTTAGATACCAAAATGGTTAAAGAATCTGATTCTTACAAAGTCATTGAAGAGTTTTGTGGCATCCTGATATGTGTGATCCAACTGTGATTGTTGTGATCACACTGGAGAAACCAGTGAAGAAGACAACGATGACTCAAATGAGGATGATGACTTTGGAGGAGGATCTTGCAAAGCTCCTTTCTCCCCCAACATGTTTGAACCTGAAAAAGGTCATTAGATTGGACTTCATCACCAAGAGATCCTTGAAAAAGAAGGTATTCTTCTTCATAAACAAGATAAGTGCAGAACCTTTGTTATTGCTCCTCCTATTCCATACATGATGATCAACCCAATAACCTACAAAGAGGAATTTCCTCCTATTGAAAGAAATATTGATCTTGTGTCCAAAACAACAACCAAACCACATATTGTCTGCCAAGAAGTCAGACCAGATGACAAAACAAACCACTGAGCCAAGCTGAGGAGGAAGTATTAAACTGACAAACAAAAAATATCAAAGCCTAAAACTCCATCTTGCAAAGAATTGATCAAAAGATGGATAAAATCTCAACACATCTTAAAGAAACTGATGAAAAGGTTCAACATCTCAACTCAACTTTGAACTCTCAAGGTTAGAAGAAGATTGGAAGAACACTATCTTTTGAGAATTATCTCACACAAAAGAAAAGGAGATTAGACAGCTTAAGGCTCAAATTCAGGAGATGAACAATTATATTGAAACAAAAGTCAAATAACAAAGAACAGAGAAAGATTCATATCCATCTTTATTTACTCCAACTCCTACTTACTCCTCTTTCTAGGACCCGTCTCCATTCTTTCAACCACCAACACAGTCTTCCTGATCTTTACCTACAACCACTACTTATAGACCATGGCTCAAACCAAGAACACCAAAGCAAGACAAAGGCAAAGAAAATAAAGTCAGTCCACCTTCTCAAGAATCTTCTCATGAAGTTCAACTCTCACCAAAGAGACAAACTCATCAAGACGCATTTAATCTTGTCTTTCAAGACTCTCAAGATTTATATTTTCAAATGACTATAGAATCTTGTCCTGATCCAACTCCTAAGAATACTCTTATAATTATTGAAGGGTATTCCTCTAAATATTCAGAGACAAAAGTCCCTAGTTATGCAGATTTAACCCAAATTCTGATGACCAACATCTCCAAACTAAAAGTCAGACATGAACCTAATTATGATTCTCCTCATAAAGAAATTAACTCTGATTCAACAAGGACAAATACCTCTCCTTGGTTTACTATTGATTATATCCCTCCAAGTCAGTGGAGAGATAGACTAATTGAATTTAGAGTCTGGTTAGATACCAAAATGGTTAAAGAATCTGATTTTTACAAAGTCATTGAAGAGTTTTGTGGCAGAATGACTATAACCCTTAAGGAATTGTATCATAACCTGGGAGTTGTTAGACAAAATCAGTTCCATGAATTGGGACAAACTTTAGCAGTACTAGGATGACTCGATTATTGATAAGAAACCCAGGCAAGAATTTTTAGAAATGAGATGTTGCTCAGTGAAGATCAAAGATCTGAAGAAGCATTATCAACGAATGAGCAAGAGATTCTACCATCTTAATGGGCTCAATGATCTCAGCCTAAAAAATACTTATATAGCATCTCTTCCTACTAAAATCCAGTCAGAACTAAATAAGATGGCAATGGCTATCCAAAAAGACTTCACCACCTTGACTATGGGTTAAATTTATCAGATGACCCTAGAGGTCATGGATTAACTTTGTAGACAACATGAATTCTTTTCTGACATCATGACCTAGAAGACTAAATTCAATAAGGCCTAACAGAAGCCCTATCTTGAAATCAAGTATAAGAAACCCTTTTCAGGAAATTGCAAAGAGAAAAGGCGGGAGAAACAACCTATTCGCAAGAAAAAGAAGAATTTCAAATTCTTCAAGAAGAAGATCATAGGAAAATCTCGGGATAAAAAATGTTTTATTTGCAAGAAGAAATGTTATTTCTCTAAGAATTGTCCCCACAAAGCTAAAAGAGTCATAAAGCTTATCTCCCCTCTCAATCTTGGAGATAGTGAAGATATAAATTCCATATACTTAGAACAAAGTTCTATAGATGAAGAAACAGTTTTTGTCCTCACTACGTTCTCTAATGAAACAGAATCTGATTATTCAGACGCAGAATCAGAAACAGATATTGTTCTAGTCTTCTCTTTCCAAGAGATCAATCCCATTAATGTCTCTCCTTCTCAACCATGCCTATAAGTATAGCTTCTTCTTTCTAAGTATGAGAAAATCATAGCATATCTTGACACATGAACCCAAAAATTCATGATGGATCCAGATATACTTCAAAAAGAATTTGAAAAAAAAAGTCTCTTATTTTGTTGCAGTTGATGGAAAGATTTTTAAGACTAAACTTATCACAAAATCCCCAATCGTGATTAAATTCTTCCCAGAATGCATAGTCTGGTCAAAAGCAATTGGAAATAAGCTGTTAAACAAAGATATATTGGTAGGAATGAATATTTATTCCATGGCTCATAAGCTTCAGATCCATCCTACTGGGATTAAATTCAAAAGGGAATTTAAATATTTTACAGAAGTACCCAGGCTCTTTTCCCTCTCTATCTTATCTCGAAAGGAGACCTTCTTCTTTAAGGATCACAACATATCGTTCATATTTTCATAGAGGGTTTGATTTCTCTTGGTGATGAAGTCCA